AGAGATTAGGAAAATGTGAGGATGGTGAGGCACTGGAACAAGTTGCCCAGAGAAGTTGTGGCTGCCCCATCCCTGTCAGTGTTCTAGGCCAGGCTGGATAGAGCTTTGATCAATCTAGTCTAAGCGGAAAGTGTCCCTGCCCATGGCAGGGGAGTTGGAATTAGATGACCTTGAAGGTCCCTTCCAACCCAAGCAATCCTGTGATTCTATGATTCTATGGTGTCAGTGTGGTTCCCTTAGTGGAAAGTACCTGTCACAGATCCAAGAGTTTCTGTGAGCTCTTAAACACCAGCTTCTTTCCCCGTCTACCTGTCCACCTACGCCACTCCATCTCCACTGCCCCAACATCCCGCCACAAAGTGTTTATTTCTTTGGTGAGAAAGCTCATGGGTACCACTGAAGAAAGTTTTCTTGCCTAACCACCATTCACCTTTCTCAGCACTCCTCATGAGAGTTGTTATGCCCCCAGTAGTGGTCTGCTGTCGATAATTGATCAGGGCAGGGCTAGGAGTGTGTACAGAAGATGACAGCACAGGAGTAAATACTTCTGGGCCTACACAGGAGTGGATGGGAGGAGGAGGCATTCAGATGCACTCAGATGCATAGAAGCAGAAGGCAGTAGGCTTGGCTGAAGGTTATTTTTAAGGACTGGTTCAAACAGGCTGCAGTGTCACTTGGTATCTCCTACCCAGCCAAACTGCTGGCTCTAGATGTTCACAAGGCAGCAAACTCTTTCTGGTTGCAGTAGGGTTAGTCCTTGTAGTCGTGTGCCAGAGTTTGGGGTGAATACCACAATGGTTTCTTGTCTCGATGGTCTCACAGGCAGAGTCTCAAGGCGGGGGTAAGAAGTGGGACACTCAAGCTGGAAAAGCTACTGATGGGGAAAGGGAGCCAGGATGATACACCTTTAGCTGTGAGACATCTCCAACTGATGCAGCTTGTCAGCCACTGTCTGATACACTGCTCAGCTGTGGCTGGCAGACGCACAGTGTCTCGGACTGGCTGTGGGGGCACTGGTGGGAGACAAGCTCATGCTTTCATGCTCATTAACAGAGACTACCAGGTCTAGAAACAGCTTTGCTCAAGTGATGAGTCCAGATGAAGGGCTCTTCCAGCTGCTCCTCAGCCACGTGGCATTTCAGCAATGCACAGTGAAAAAAAAAAAAAAAAAAGGAAAAAAAGCAGAGTCTTTGCCAGGCCTTGATCTCTGTGTGAGACAGTCCAGGCCGCCAAGCAGCCCACAGCAGAAATCTCTGCTGGCACAAGTGCCCTCAAACTCAGCAGAAGCCTGCATAAAGCCAGAGAACGTGTCATTCCTGCTTTATCCAGGCCCCACATGGGCAGAAGTTTCAAGAGGAATGTAGCCATACAGCTGACATCCAATAGGCCTGCCCATCCTCAGAGACGTAGAAAGTATTGTAAGCCAGTAATTTTTTACCGGATTGGTGCTCTTGAGTAACAAGAGCTGGCTGTTACACAAGCCTCGTGCACAGCCATGTAGTCCACCAGCTGGAAAAGATTTGTCTAATCATAGAACCACAGAATATTTTGGGGTTGAAGGGACCTTTAAAGGTCATCTATTCTTCCCACCCTCCTCTGCTTCCTGTCCAGAGGTGATCAGTGATCCCAGTATGGAAGAGTGACAGCTGCTGTTACAGGATAATCTGAGGGCATCACAAAGTACTGAAGCATGAAAACACATTGCCACCTTTCCTTGTCTCAGATGTCCCCCTCCCCGTGTTTGCAGGCACTATGGAAGTGCAAGGCGAAGGTACCCAGCAGCAGTCGGGCTGCGATGGAGAGGAGGTGAGCACAGAGCCGTGCTGCTCATCACTTCCCAGCTCCTGAAACACACGAGCTCTCCTTCCAAGGGTAGCAACAGCAGTAGCCAAAAGCCTGAACTTTGCTTCCAGAAGGGATCAGCTGTTGAGCTGAGCAAATTGTGATGCTGTGCAGGGTGGGTGGAAGAAGGGCGGGAGGAAGGGAGGGAGAGCCAAGCCTGACACGGGCCAGAGCAGGAGGGGAGGCACTCACAAAGGCCTTGGAGGCAGGATGGAAAAGACAGTAATTACATAAGAGCACTTGGCGAGCATCTGGCTGGAGTCAGCTGGGCCCTGCCTGCCCTCCCTCCCGCACTGCTAACCAGGAGCAGCTGAGGATACACATAACTCAGCGTGGGACCCCTCCGGAGGGGAGCGTAGGTAAGAGGTCCTCTACTTCCCCTCCTGGTTTGCGGTGCTCTTGGAGAGTGGGGGCAGAGGAGTGGAAAATAGGGAAGGGAAAGGAAAGACAGCTGTGGTGGAGGGGAAGCAGCCAGGAAGGGGAAGAGAAGGAGCTGTTTCTCTGCCTCTTGGTGTGAATGATACCTTTGCTCCTGAGGTTTTGGCGAGGGAGGAGCTGTGAAGGGTGAGTGTGTGGGTGTTTGTGGGTAGATGTGAGTAGGTGTGTATGTGAGACAGGACAGATGATCCACAGGTATCACAGGGGAGCTGAGCTGTACACAGGGGCTAGAAAGGGGAGAAAACATCAACTTCCTTCCTTCTATACCTGTGGCAGAGAGGGTCAGTAGGATGGATGCAGCCACTGGAGGAGAGTCAGGTTTTGTTCCCCTACTTCACCTGTGTGGTAGGGGTTACAGGACAAAGGAGGAAATGTAGAAGAAGGAGGAAGCAGCTGCTTTTGAGCAGAGATTGTTGTGGTACAATCCAACCAGTGCATCCCTGGGCTGCTTCCAAGGCAAAGTGTGTGATGAGGGAGAAGGAAGATTGTTGGACACACAGTGTCCCTTCAGACTTGGATTACACTTAAAAGTGTGGCTGGCACAGGTTTACTGGATACAATTCTCAAAACTTCCTGCAAATGTGGCTGCCCTGGCAAAATATTGCTGGTACAGACAGTTCTCTTCAGAGAACAGGGCAATATTACCCAGGCAAAAGTGTCTTTACTGGCGTAAACTTCTGCTCAGCTGGACAATGCCACTAGGGCAAGCCCTTGTTTGCTGGCAACCAGTGAGTCCCTACTGAGCCCAGATGAGACAAAGTCCTGTTCACTGCCCACTGTGAGCTGTTCTTGCAGTCTGATGAGGCACAGGCAAAGACTCCAGCTGATGAGGTCCCCCATGAAGAACATCTGCTTGGCTGAGAGCAACTCAGGAATGCAGATGGAAATGTGGGACGGAAATGAGGACAATGGACTCCCTGCTACCTGTTCCCCTTGGAAAGGTGGAGGAGGCCAGGCATAGGGCCAAGAACTGCAAAAATGGGTAATGTCATGTTTGGAAATAAGCCAGGCAGGAAAAGCTGAGAAAGTAAGGAACTGCAGCAGCTTTTTTGGGACAGAGAGGAACTGTCTTCAGTGTCAATCTCTGAGTTTTCATGCACCCCAGAAAATTTATTTGCCTTTAATAGTACTGCCAGCTGCCAAAATCCCCACCAGCAGCAGTCAGGAGAAGACAACACAACTGATCACAAACCCCCACTTCTGTCAGCTGGCAAGGCTCCATTAGCAAGACGTATTTCCCAAAAGGGAAAACTGAGGCACAGGAAAATGTGGGCAACTTGCAGTGGGTTTCATTGCATGTCAGTACTGGAGTGAATTTTTTGGTCCTCTTCTTACCCTGGCTAAGAAGCATGTCCACTCCATGTTCATTGAGCTCCAGGCTGACAGGCAGCCTGAGAATATCTCCAGGCCTCCCAGCCCCCCTTCCTCCCTTCCCCCCCTAGCTCATAGCACATATTTTCCCAGAGTTTTCCGCTTGCTTCTCCAGTGGTGCTGGGGTCCTGCCAAACGCCAGCCACTCTCTGGGAAGCGGGGCCTCCCATTCCCAAACCAAACAAATGGGAGAAAGGAAACAGGAAAAAAAAAGTCCAAGCACACGTAGACACACACAGAACCCTTTCCCCCTCAGAAACCTTGGAGCCTTCTCCAGCTTCTCTTGGAAATTGTGGGAGGCACAGTGCTGACTTGGCACTTCTGGTCCCTGCAGAAAAGAGCTATTGTCCATCCTTCCTTCTGCCTCCCAAAGATACATATGTACACACACATACACACACAGGGGGTATAAATTCACAGATCAGTTTTACTACAGCATAGAATCCTCAAATTCTCTTCCTAACAGATTCTGCAGCATGAGAAAAGTCTCCTATCTGTCCCACCCTGCACTCTTCTGTCCTCCAAAATGCCCTTTGTTCCCAAGTTCTGGTGCAGCCACATCGTGCTTACCCCAACAACACAAGCTCGTCAGCTCAGCGCCAGGCTGGGGGCAAAGGTCACATCCAGGGTTTGCTTCCAGATCCCCAGTTTTTCTGGCAGGCAGCTCCCAGCAGCCAGGCTATGCTTCAGGTCAGGCACACCCCTCCCATCAAAAATGCTCAGCCCAGGACCTAAGAAGGGGACATGACCAGGGGATGACATGAGCAGGAGTGCAAGGCTTGGGGCTCTGCCCAGGCAGAGGGGATGACCAGAGAGGGAAAATACTGATGCCTCTCCCAGCTGGCAGATGCGTCTGCTACAAATATCATGCCTGGGGCAAGAGGCCACAGTGATGTGTAGAAAAAAAAATGTGGGAGAGAATGAAAGATGAAGTTTGGAGACTAGGAGTGGGAAAGGCACAGCTGGGGAGAGAGCATGGCCAGCCAAGTGAAGGGCTAATACATGGGACAAAGGACTAGTGCACAGGAGTGAAGGCAGGGTCCTGTAGCCTCCCACCTGAAGGAGAGTGTCTCTTGCATGGATGCACCTCACCTTGCCCATCCTGAGCTGCCAGAGGTGGGACACTGCCCTGCTGCCTGCCCACCCTTTGCAGAGGGTGCAAATCTGTGTTGCCTGCATTTTGCTGAGCAGGGCTGTGCTGGTTGGAAGCAAAAAGGCAGAGGAAAAGAAACCAACCCAACAACACATACAAGGAAAAGGCACTACCTAGGAAAGAGTTAAAAGGCGCCGAAACCCAAGCCGGTTTGCGATGGAGAGCGCCCAAAGCCAGGGAGGGAGAAGGAGGGAGAGGAGAGGGGAGGGAGCCGGTCCAAGCCCGGATTGCGCACCCAGCCAGCGCTGAGCAGTGCCTGTGCCAAGAGCCGGCTTCCTTAAAGCCATGGGCCCGGGGGCCGGCCCCGCAGGCGGAGGGGAGCCGGCGAGCAGGGGCCGGAAAGCAGAGAGGGGAGCCCTCGGCCCCCGGGGTGAGCTGCCGCGCTGCGCCGGGGGCAGGCAGCGGGATGGGGGGCACAGGCTGGGGCAGGGGCTTTCTCAGCTTGTTGGCGTGTCTGTCTTTCGTAAGCATACTTCTATGCAAGCTGCCTGCTCCCAGCTCCACGTCCTTCACTCTCGGCAACAAAGAAGCTCTCGCCTCTGGTCTGCCTGCAAAGGCTGCAGTCAGGGAGCCAACTGTTCCCTTGGGAAGGTGCTGGGCTTTGCCTGAGAATCCCCTGGGCATTGTTGGGAGGGGGCTGAGGCACAGAGAGGGGGGGGATTGAGTGGGAAAAAGGAGAGGCTGAAGTTAAGTTCCCAGCCCACAGGAGAGACCTCTCTGCCAAGAGATGTGGGTCAGACTCTGGGACATGGGTGTTGTTGGATCAGATTCCCGTAAAGAGTTGATGTGCAGTGACTGGAGGGTTGGAGAATTTTTTACAGCCCTTCTTGCAGATTCAGCAGCCTACCACAGCATGCTTTTGCTAAAGGACTGTTGAGGTTGGACGAAATAATATTAGAAGTCTTATTCAACCTTAATGATTTCACGATTCTACGCCTCCTTCCTCTATCCCAGCCTGGAGACTGAATCTTTTAGTGGCTCCAATGGTTTGCCTAGTCAGCATCAAGTCTTCTTCCAGGGTCAGCACCTAATCTCCACTGGCCTGGGCAGAAGGGCGTGGGACATCCTCTTGGGCCATGTGGTTTCTGCTCAGATTGCAGCCTTGAACATCCACGCACTACAAGCATGTAAACTGCCTCCATGGGACAATGCTATTTCATCCCATCCCTGGCTCTAACCACAGAAAGATGTTTTGTGGTAACCTCTGTTCCATCCCTTGTGTCCTCCCCTTCTTATACCTCACTCTGGCACTTCCCCATGTCTTCCTAGGTCACCATGGACGTAATTTACCTGCGCACATCCCTGACCTTCCTTCTTCTCCCTCTTGTTGTGTTTGGGGCACCCACTGATGAACCCAATCTCAAAGAACCAGCCCCTGGTGCTTGCAAGCGCTGTTGTGACCCACTGGACTCTTCCACAGATGCCCGACCGCTCCCTCCCAGCCACCACCACTTTCCATACCCAATGCCAGAGGTCCGTCCCTATATCAACATCACCATACTGAAGGGTAAGTGCCCATTTTGGCCTCAGGATGCCAAGGCCTGCTCAGGGGCTGACAGCACTGCACTGGAGGTGACAACTGGATTGCTGGCATGCTGGTTATGCTAACAGGCTGCCAGGTGCCATCCTTGAGGATATGTGCCCAGGGTTTAGATGTTTTGTGCTGTTATGAGGAGTAGTCTGGGGGGAAGGAAGTCAGTGCATATCCCTCACTCAGAAAGGTTGTGGGGAAACCTTCTCCAGATCCATGGGTCACATGGAGGAGGGCAAAGGGAGGCAGCAGCTATTTGCAAGCACCTCCAGGCTAAACTGGCAGTGACCCCCAGCTCATTCCACCCTGCTGTGGCTGGCTTGGCTAACGGGAAAAGGCTCTCTATTTTAGATCAGCTCCTCCCTTCAGGGCTCCCCTTTTAGCCTTTGCTGTGGGCAAAAGCCTGTTCCCAGCTGGATGCTGCTCCACTCACTCCTTGTAGCTCTGTGGTTCCTCTGGGTTAACTGCCCAGCCTGGAAATAACTGCATTCCATCAACATTCAGAAGGGTGTGCGGGGCAGATAGAGGCCTAGAGTGGGGGTGTTGTAGCAGGACCTGCAATACCATGCAGGGGAGGGAGAGAAGGAAAACAACAAGACACAAATTTGGGATGCTGTCACTTGTGCTGGAGGCTGCTCTGACCCTATCTCTTCTCTCTACACACAAAGTACATTCTGGTGCTGGTCTCTCTCTGTATTGATGCCTGGCAAAGTGTGGGACAGGCAGTGCACACACCCCAGGGTAGAGCTGCAATATTAATTATATAGGATGCCCTAAGCATGCCAGTATTGTCCAAGTACCAGCCCTCTAACTTGCACTGCTCCATCTGCCTAGTCCAGCTTGGATCTTTTCCCTCTGACCCACCTCATTGTCTGTCTCTAGTCATATTTCCCCACAGGGGTTAGCATTTCTTTTCCTTCTCCAGCCTACAGAAAGAAGTGTGCATCTTAGGTGGATAATTAGGTCATAGGAGAGGTGGGTATGAGGGTAGGATCTCTGATGGCGGTAAAGGAGTGTGGGGAAGGGAGAAGAGGTCAAGAGCCCCAGTAGTATTTTGCACTGCTGAGCTCCCTCTCAGGCTGAAGTCTCCTAGGGACAGGTCCTGGTGCCTCCAGCAGGACCATATCACTTTTATGGGCAGGAGACTCGTAAGAGAAGAGACTCCAGTCACACCCCAAGCTCTGCTAGCTGCTTTCCCATGAAGAGCAATGATATCACGACCCTCAGGACTGTTCCTTCTCCTGGCATTGCCCCATTCTTGTGCAGTTCTCTGCCTCCTCATTAGGCTTTCTCACCACCACTTCCACATCTCCTTCTGGTATCACACAGGAATTGTGTCCTCTGCTTCCTCTTGTAGGAGAGAAAGGAGACCGGGGAGAGCCTGGAATGCCAGGGAAATGGGGCAAAGAAGGACCACGAGGTGAGCGGGGTGCCCAGGGCCAGAAAGGCAGTAAAGGACAGATGGGCACAGCGGGAGACCCCTGCAAGCATCAGTACGCTGCATTCTCCGTCGGTCGCAAGAAAGCTCTGCACAGCAGTGAGGGCTTCCAGGTCCTGATCTTCGACACCGTCTTTGTCAACCTCTACAGCCACTTTGACATGTTCAATGGCAAATTCTACTGCTCAGTAGGTGGACTTTACTATTTCAGCCTCAATGTCCACACCTGGAACTTCAAGGAGACCTACATGCACATCATGCACAATGAAGAAGAGGCAGTCATCTTGTATGCCCAACCCAGTGACCGCAGCATCATGCAAAGCCAGAGCCTCATGCTAGAGCTTCAGGAAAATGATGAGATCTGGGTGAGGCTCTACAAGCGGGAGCGGGAGAATGCCATTTACAGTGATGATGTTGATGTGTACATCACCTTTAGTGGGTACTTGGTCAAGCCTAGTCTTGAATAACTGCCTCTCCTCTTGCTTGGGGCCTCTTTGGCCTTTTCCTTCTTTCTCTCTCTCTCTCTCTCTCTCTTTACTGCCCACAAACACTGCAAACCGCTTGGAAATGAGCCTGTCAAGTCTCAGGCACTGAGTGTGAAACTTGCCACACCAGCTCCCACCTCATGCCCTCTTGTAGCCAGACTTGTGTCTGTCCACTTACATCGTGACACTGCCATCTCTCATGCCTTACCTCCTAAACCAGCTTAGGTTATTGGCTTCCCAATCTGCCAGCAAGTTGGCTCTGGAATTTGGAGTCCTAGAGCAAGAAGAAAGCTAAAATGCTGCTCCTGAGGATGTGTCCCTCTTTGGGGCTTCATTCACAAAGGACTCCTGTAGAAAGGCCTAGAAAGTCCCCATTGCCCATGTACATCTTGGCTCCTCTCTTTCCTAACTAGACATACCAGTTTTGCAGCCTGAAACATGGTTTTAATGTCACCTCTGACACCTGTAGTCTGGAGAGCGGACTGGGGTCTGATGGTCTCCTGTAGCACAAGAAAGTTGTAGGACCGGTAAGAGAGGACAGTGTCTTTCCAAAAAGGGAACTGTTGGCCTTCTGAAGTGTGTCACTGGCTATCCTTAGACGCCCTTCTGTGTCACAGAGTCCGGGTTGGCTGTCAAATCTAGGCCTGGTGGGATTGTCCTCCTCTGTGCCAGCTCTAGCTCTTTGAAGAGATAAAGGGCCAGACACTTGGCCAGACCCCTTATGCACATCTGCTGTTGAATCAGTAGAGCCCACCATTCCGTTACCACTACAGATCACAAGTAAAGAAGGAGAGAGAAAGAGAGAGAGAGAGAGACAACCCTCGAAAACCTCCCTCCCACACCTCCCCTGGTGTGCTACTTGATCTTGGCTCCCCAGCTGTGGAAAGCTAGTCCAGATAGTGAACTAGAATCTGCTCTCTTCTTTGGCAGAGGTGCCATTTCGTTGTCCCCCCGAAGGTGGTTCTCCCACACTGGTATTCAAGGACTGCTGTTTCAGGACCCGAGCTTGAGACTGGAGGGGCAATTGCAGTTAAGTCAATTCCAAACCTGGACAGACTGCCACCTCTTTGCCTCTGTGATGGAAAAGAGATAGAGGTGAGACTACAGCACCTCACCCCAGGGTTAAAAGCTTCCCTGCCTTATGCTCTGTGCCCTTTTCTGGCAATCTCATCAGAGCAACTTAGAAAAGCATGTGACTAAAACAAACCCTCGCTCTTCTTGTCAGGTTGGAGATGTTGCAGTGAGAAAGGAATGTCAGTGGTTGGGTTTTCTATTACTATTTATACTCGTCTCACACTGCTCTCACTTGCATCCCTCTGTGGGGTATGCTACAGTCTTGTTGGGAGCAGGTGAGGCTGGCTCAGCACTTTAGGAAACCTACTTCCGCATGTTGTAATGCTTCCATAAACTCCCAAGAGTTGTCTCTTTTTTGAGTATCAGGGCAGGACAAGCAGGAGAAACTGTATTTCTCTTCTGCCCATCACTGATAATGAAATCTTCTGACTTACCTAGCTTCTAAAGTCTCTTGATTAACCACGATCTTTGCCTATAGCACCTGGGACTACCAGAGCTCTCCCATAGGAGATGTGCATCATTATACAGGACTAGGTCTGGTACACTCAGCTGGAGATGGCAAAGCAACAGGGACTCAGGCCAAATATTAAAAATGAACTTGAGAAAATTGCAGGACATTTTCTCTCTTGTCCTGTTTACTTACCCTCCCTTCTTTGCTAAGGAAGCTGTACAGACTCTAACGAGTTTCAGGAACTTTCTACTGTGGATCCTACCCACCATTGTCAATGAGGCAATGGGTATAAAAACAAAGTTTCTCTGAGGCAAGCCTGTTTTTTTCACAGAGAAACATTGATTATGGGATCATGGGAACTAAAGGAGACTGTGAGTTTCTTCCCCTACCTTAGCAGGCCAAGCGTGTGAAATTGCTGAGAGAGAGGATTTCAGACAGCACAGAGGAAGCAGCGTGCTGGCAGTGATGCTCAGGACCGAATTTCTTTCTCTCTTCCTCAACAGGCTGCAAATGAGATATTGTCTCTTTACAGTGTATTGAGCCCCATGCCTCCCTGAAGCGAAGAAAGTCTCTCTAACACTGAATATCTCCAGAAACAAGCTTCATTCTTCCTCCTTTTTTCTATTTGGTGATTGAATGCTGGTAACAGGTCTCATGTGCTACCCATGAGCAGCCAGATGGTGCCTGATGCACATGAGAGAGGAGGGCAGGGGGACCAAAGGGTGTGTTTAACAGGCTTCTTGGTGCTAAATAAGACAGCATTCCCTTGGTGCTAAATCAGATTTCAGGAGTATTGGGTGCTTTCTGGAAGGTGTAGTAGGCTGAGTTGTGATGTACTCTGGAATTAATGGTGCTTTATATTACAAAACAAAAAAAACTACAAGAACTTTTGTATATATATTTTTTTTTCAGTGGTATTAAACTTTTTTCCTTGGTTGTTTTGCACTTAAATCTGTTTTTCTCTCCTAACCCATTCCTTCTAGCACTGGTTATTGCTGAATGGTGTGATGTAAAAGATGTGGACCCAAAAGAGACAGGTACAAGGTCTAAAGAGACAGGTACAAAGTCTAACAGCTCTGAAACTTCCCTGGGTAATCCTTGGCAGTCTTGTGTCTGTTTCCTTTATGAAGAACCATTACCTTGAAGATATTTACTGCTTGAACACTTCTAATTATGATGACCCTCTCCTCTTTTCTGGGAAAACTTTAAGCAAATTCAAAGAAGGAATCTTTGGAAATTACAAAAAACCCAAGACAATACAATGGGTTATAGGAGTAGGCTTCAAGTACTTAATTATATTGAAGAAGGCTGGGCTACCGTGGGAGTTCTCTTAAGGGAGATCAGACCCTCTATCTTGTGAAATTTTTAGCACATCCTTCTATCAAGTACTTAGTAAGCATGTGTGTTTTCTGTTTTCCCTGTAGCATTTCTTTTGTCTCTGCCAAGAGGTAAAGGCCAGAAAGTACAGACAAAAGAGGGACATTAAACTGTTGATTGAACACTTGTGCTCCCTAACACTGGGGTGAGTAGGATTTCCAGAGTTAAGCTGGACATGCATATTTGGAAGACCTGTGTGTGATGAGAAAGGCTTGAGGTTCAGGTCAGAGGTGGAAAGGCAAGTAGTAATTGCCCATGAAGTTGGGGAAAAAGGGGAAACATGAGCAGGGAGTGGAGTCTTGGAAGCTTGAGTGGACGATCTAGAAGGATTAGAATCCTAAGGACAGGGAGATACCTTTTGGAGGTCTCAATGCAAGTCAAAGAGGTACATGGGATTTTCTTTATCATCTTTGGACTGAGAGGTCTCCTGCTGAGGTGGAAGAATAGACATGAAAATACGACAAGGTGCCCATATAGGCCATTCTGTTTTGAGTTTAATTTGTCTTTACACAGCTTCTCCTGTGGTTTGATGTGTACCAGACACATCATTTGATAAGGGGTGGAAAACATAATCATATGCATCTTTGGTCCTGTGTTAGGCCCAAAGTTAGGGCTATATATATCCTAGCAAATGCAATACTCTCTCATGTCAGAGCCCAGCCTTCTTCCCATTTTTTATTTATTTCTGAGGAAGCAGATAGAAACATGTCCTCAGGAAGTGCAGTGGTTGTGTTTGTGCATGTTCCTGGCCCCTTGAGCTGAGATGATGTTAGATTGGAGGTGATTTTGTCACGCTTACAAAAGGTGAGGAGTGAGAGAGGAGGGGGGACCGGAAATGTGCAGCCAGACCTTCAAGAAAAGTTTTCTGTGATTCAGTCCTGCAGCTTGCCACCTGAAGAGTCTCTTCAGCCAAATCCATTGGGGCTTAGATGCATGGTGACAGGCAGGGTCTGTAGCTGGTGCCACCCATCACACCACGGATGCCTGACTGGGGAGTCAGAACTGTAGGTCAGGCTCAGCTCAGGCAAGGTGGACCCTGTAATGCTGTACAAGGAACAAGGTCTAGACTGGGTCAGACTAGCCCTGCTGCCCTGCCAGTGAGTGCACCCATGCCCTGAAGGCCACAAAACCTCCATCCAATTCTTTCACCACAAGTATGTGTTCTTTTCCATGCAACGGAGCTGCCCTGGGGAATGTGATTCAGGGGTTGGTGACAGCTAGTATCTCTCCTGGGCAAAGCAAGTGTGCCCTGGGGTGTGCAGCTATAGCACTACCTCTGTAGCTGTGCCTCTCTTTTCCCCTGAAAGACTGGTCCAAACTCTGCTGCAAGGGGCTCTGTGGCTGCATCTCAGGCTTGTTCAAGGTGTCTGCCACGGGCCTGGTCCTTTAAACGGGCTTCCTGCAGGTTTGTGGTCTTGCAGGTATAAAAGGAGGGGAGTGGGAGAGAGGAGGTGAAGGGCAGTATATGGTGCTGTCTCTCAGGAAGAAAGCACGTGAGGGAAAACTCAGGAGAAGCTGAATAGCTCCTTGCCCCGTGATAGCTGTGGGAAAGGAGAAAAGAGAAACAGGGCAAGAAAAGGAACATAAAAGGAGATATTTGACCCTGCTGGGGGCACTCAGATGGGCACAGGTGAATGTGCCTGCACTCAAAGCACCAGGGAGAACAGGGACACAGCATAGGGAGTGCAGTCATGAGAAGCATCTCTGGCAGCCCCTCAGGCCTTGCACCAGCTGCCAGCAATAGTGCAAGATTTGCCCCACATCAGTGCACTATTCAGGGGGCTGCCACACTGTATCATAGCAGGTTTCCCCTCTGCCTCAGCCTGGTGTCCCTCCTCCTCTCCCAAACCACCTAGACAACCTGCTTCACTTACAACTCAGTCTTGTTTATCTCCCAGAGTCCAGGGAGGGAGAAGGGGTGATGCAACACCCCAGCCAGCATCACCCAGTGCCACAAGCAGAGCCACTGCCTCCCTCCATCTGGCACATTGAAGCCAGATGCCAGCAGTGTGTTCAACCTGCCCCAGAACTCCTTTTTCTCGAACTCGCTTTCCCATTGCTGGCTGGGAGATGCCATAGGGCAGGAAGTGGACCCTGCTGCATGGGTGATGCAGCACAGCTGCACATCTGACAGCAAATGTTCCACTACCTTGTGTGGCAGGGCCGTTCTCTGACCACAGTGAGAAAACAGGCCTTTGCCCAGCCATGCCAGGCTTCAGAGGCCAGCTCAGTGCACACTCTGCTATGACACCCACACATGTG